TGAAACTGCAATGCTGTGGGTTGCCAGGGGCAGGGTTAACAAACCCTGGTTTCCACCAAAAAGATTCCAAAAAGAGCAGAATACTACCTTACAAACTTGGGCTAAGAAGCTCCAGTGAGATTCTACATAGGTAGTTTTTAAACTGATTCTTTTTGTCCTCTTACTGAAGTTGTTTTTGTTAGGATACTTTTACATCTGCTCAGTCATTATTTCATAACAGAAGACTTTTTCTTGATTAGGCTACTACTCTGCCCATCTCTTGACCGAGTGAAGGGCTCAAACTGTAAGCACAGTGGTGAAATTTCCAAGCCTATGAACCAACATTTTAGTCTTGTGCCTCAGGCCTTGAGACCGCCTTTTGTATTCCTCTCTCTCTATCCAGCCTGCCAAGGGTAAACATTTACTGAGATAAATCTGCCAGTAGGAACGGCCCCTAAGGCCTGCCCAGCATGCCCCTGGGGGTCCCCCTTCCCCCTCTGATCCTTTGCACTTGCCCTATTTCACACCAACCTCCCCATCCACCATCTTAGGTCATCTACCTCCATTCAAACCACAGGTTGAGACTACCACGCCACCTAAATAATCACATATACCTACATGAATAAACACTTATCCAAAGCCTTATAATGGAAAAATGTTACGTATACACACTGTGGGAATGTGTAGTCTAAAACCGCAGGCTTATACGTGATTTAAATTCCGTGTACATGAGAGAATCGGGCCTCAGATGAAATGACTGACCATGGGGAGAAACATATAATAACACACATACACACACATTTTGTTTAACTACCTCTTTACTTTTTACTGCTGCCAATATTTACAGTCAGGGAGCTCTTTAGGAGAAATAAAGCAGATATTTAGGGTGCTGTTTCATTGAGTGTAAAGGCCGGATTTGTGGTACCTCATAAAGCACCTATCCCATTCTTGCCTATAAAAATTTAATGCCACACATCTACTGCTGAGAGTTGGGCCCACTGGGCCCCCTGTAGGCCCCTGTATACTCTGCCTGTACCTCTCCCCACCTCACCCCCAGCCTGAGAAAGCAGGCGTACTGATCCCAGTATGCTAAGGCTCCACTGACCTTTCTATCTCACTGATAAGAAACACTTATCTTTATTACTCGCTAAAATCTTAGGCGAAAGTGACTATAAATCACTTTCCTGAAAGAGAATACAAAAATCTTATAGAGGCTGTAAAACCCAAATAAACACTAATATAAACCAGAGAAAACAAATGGCCTAATAAAACAAAATGTGTTGTATTACACATGCTAAAAAAAACTATCTGGCATTTTCACCCCAATCTCTGTCTGCTGCATCTGTAGGATGCAGTCGATTACGAGTGACAGTAATTTTTGACACATTTCTCTGTAGTTAGTTAAAGAACAGAAAACCCATTAACTCGAAACTGACTGCTTCTGCACCTGCCCATTAACTTCTCTTATAAATAAATTTTGAGTCAACAGGTCTTCTATTCTTTTCCACGTACATTAAAATAATCACCAATGGTATGTGACTGTGCACTAAAGATGCATAACACAGAAATTTGATTGGATTATTACTTTAAGGGTCAAGTTATTCAAGCAGTTTACTGGCCGTTTACGAGAAAAAGGTTGACCTGCGATTACGCAGTCTCATTCTCAACCACAGGGCAGACATCACGTCAGACACACGAATGAGACGAGTGACACGCACTGGCTTCGCAGGAACATCTAAAGAGAAGGAACAGAAGCCCTAAAGCCCTCTCTCTCTTTCTCTCTCTCTCTCTCTCTCAGCTCCCATGAAGACTTGAAAGAGAATGTTACTGTCGTCTGTGTCCATGTGAAGTTTATCTTTCTTCCTGTCTTTCATCACTGCTGTTATTAAGCCCCTCTCTCCGGAGCACGTTGATGTCTAATTATGCTGACGGTAAACAAAAGGAAGGCCGGGGGGGGGCAGGGGGCTGTGGGGGCCAAGGGCCGGGAGGGTGGCCCAGATGAAACCTTGCAGCTGGACGGTGGCGTGTTATTATAATTTTTTAAGCGATACTGTTAGCTCTGTCAGACGCTTTAGCACAGTGGCTAATGACGGTCCTGAGGTAATTACAGGTCTAGCTCAGGAACGCCTCTCTGAGCAAAGCTAGATGGTCGTTAACTTCTCTGGAGCGGAGGGCCAGCCCAGCTCCCGCTGCAACGCAAACCAGCAATTATCCTTAAACGTGTTTGGCGCTTTTTTGTTCTTTGCAGATATACAAAGTTGTGAAAGACAGTCAAAGCTTGAACTGTAGGCTAAATAATCCCTCTGTTCTGGGATGATCTGGGAACAGATCCCCAGAGAAAAGCATTCAGCAATGATTCTAAAAGAGCAGTCAGGCCTTTAGCATTCCAGATACAAGAAATGAAACAAAAGCCTTTTGTTGTCTTGTGTGTCTTAATATGGGGAAGACGCACAACACACAGGCTGTCACTGTATGCTTTGAGAAGTGTGATGTGGTATTGGAACCATATGCAAGCTAAACAAGAGTCACAGAGGGACTGCTATCACACGGGCCTCACAACTTCCTGCTCTGAATCTAAATATTTACGTTCTAGTCATCCCAAGTGGAGCAGGCGAGTAAGACTGATTTTGGGTTATATAAAGTCAAATCCTCCAGGACAAATTAAGCAGATTTTCCTCATTACCCATGACGTGTAGCGTGCAAAGTTTAGAAGCTTCGAGTTTTGCCACTACTGTATGAGCTGAGAAGACTGACATGAATAACTTGCAGTCAAACGACCCACAAATGTAAACAGGGGTGGGTTACAATCTGAATATGAATATATATATATATATTGTACATGGTCTTGCTTCAGCATATGAGCTTGACTTCTCATTTCTACAGAAACTAAGCTAAAGAAGTTTCCTTTAGGAAAGCTAAATCAATAAAGAGATCTCCTTAATATCTCTGTAGTTTCTCTTAGACAACCATGAGGATCAAATAGAAAGACAAAGGAGACCTTTGCTTCTTTTTGCTCAGACATTTCTCCTCAGCAAAAGAGGCCAGTAATCTCACTTGTTTTCTCTTAAGTTTTAGTAGAGATCTCAAGAAAGTCTCACATTATGCTCAGATTATCCCTCCAGGTCTCCTGAGCCATCAAAGAGCAACATTTGAGCAATTGGATTTTTCTCTGGCTTCTACTCCTATTCTCCTCCGATTCACTGTTTTACAAATCAGTTCATAAATTAAAAATGATCAAAAATGATGATAAATTATCCCCCTTAGCTGAGAACTGTAGAAACTTTCCTTGAACTGTAATGCTGGCACAGCACACAAGCGCGTGTCGCAAAATGCACGTTTACAGATTTAACCTTCAGGCCCAATGCAGTTTGCTCCCAAATGCTAAATTAGCACTGGATCAAGTGAGTATTAGTGCTAAGCCATCTGGTTCTCCCAAGCCCAGCTCCCACAAAACACAAAGACCACCTCAAAGCTGTGATGTAATGAGAAACAGAGATTCTGGATTTAGACCTCCTCAACCTCTTTCTCACCAAGAGCTGTCCAAACTAGCTCAGTACTGAGAGGCAATTGTGTAACATGCACACAATTCATTGAGTAATCCTGCTATTATCAAAACTGTGTGTCAGGTTTCACCCCCTAAAACAATCAAGTTTTTGGGCTACCTGAAGGAACTATCACAAAAAATAAATATTTCCAGATGTTCCAAGGATACTCTCGAAATGCCCACTATGAAATTTATGTATAAAGCTTTTTTTGCAGAAATTAATATTGTCAGAAGAATTAGCAAATCGAAGAAGCATATGAAAAACAATTGGGGACATGAAAAAAAATGAGTAGCAGGTACAGGTAGAGTCATGTGTGTTCTCAGAATAAAATATCATTGCTCAAATTTTGCTCTTTTGTGGCTCAGGAGACTTCCTTAGGAGAAACAGCATAACACAAAAGGATACATGAGATACAGGAGAAATGAGTTTAGTTGCAGATAAACATGAGTGTGATTATCTTGGCAAATGTGAGCATAATATAAGAATTTATTAAGACATTTCCTAAAACTCAAGAGGAGACACATGAGATCACTGGGTTCTTTTGGAAATGTCTGACAAGGAGGAGACTGAAGCAAAAGTCTCCTTTGTCTTTCCATCTGATCTCATTGTTGTCTAGTAGAAACTACAGAGATATTAAGGAGAACATGTTAGTTAATGTGGCAGTCTTTTTCCTGAACGTCAATTGTAAGTTGTTATATATATGTATATAGATAGATAGATAGATAGATAGATGGATAGATAGATAGATAGATAGATAGATAGATAGATAGATAGATAGTAGCTTGTCTCACACAATAATGAACAGGCTCAAACAATACAAGTCACTCATATGTGAGGACTCTGATGCCATTCTGTTCATGGGCAGCAACCAACTTAAACACAAAACACCATTGTGGTAAGAATAATAACATCATGTCAAGTGTATCCTAAATAAGAGATAATTAACACAAGCCAGCAAAACCGCTGGTGAGGATGTTTTTGAAAAAAAGATTCTGTAGGACTCAAATTATTTGATCTTCACTAGGGTTATTTAAGTAACTAAGGCATTATACATGAAATAATGAGTGTTACAAGATTTGCATTAGTACATTTAACAGAAAAATTAAATAAACCAAGAAAAATTAAGTCAGCACAGTTTACAGTGTAGCTATTTAAAGCCAAGCATAATATCTTCCCCCCTTTCAAATTTCCCTCAACTTCCTTTGTGGTATTCTGAGGAAAACTACTCAGAACCAACAGTCATCATAATGAGTGTCTGGGATGGCGACATGTCATAAATGTGGTGGGATGTTTATTTAAAACACACCAAATCTCTTTTTAATTTCTTTTAGATGATCCACCATATTGCTACTTGTACAATTCATTGCCTTATATGGACAAGATAAGTCTGCTTAGCATGTCATTTCATTGCTAAAAATGGGGAAGTGGTCTGGAGATTAGGTTTAGGTTTAGGCAATAGTAGTGACGGTGACCAACCTGTGTGTCCGGGGCCCTTGTGCGCCTCCTGTGGATGATTGGAGCGGTTACGGCTCTGCTGCCGGCGTTTTCCTGTGGAACGGGCCGTGCGGACATGGACCTCGCTCACCTTGAAGAAGGCCACCATGAAGGGCTGCCGCTCCAGAGCTCCATCGCGGCCCACTAAACCTGCTTCTCTGGGGCTGATATTTTGTCCTGTGAAGAAGGAAAAAGTGTCAAAAATAACATTTAATCCTTAGAGATCATGTGTTTCAATGGCAATAATATAAGCATTTTATCAGGATTTCTCACTTTTATCATATTAAAACATGCAGAGAAATTTGGTTAAGAGTGTGGATTTTAAATGATGATATCGCATTTGTGTTTGTAACAGTAAGAAAAAGAGACATTGGTAACACTTTACTGTAGGGTGCTTTTTGTAAGGCTACATGACTCCTACATAAGCTTGTCATGACAACTGACATAACTCTACATAAATGTTTATAATATCTTATTCCAATAGGCATCAGGGCTAACTTTGATCAAAATTGGCAAAGGTAACCATTATAGCGAATTATGCCTATTGGAATAGGCATTTATAAACATTTATGTTATGTCAGTTGTCATGATGAGCTTATGTAGGTGTCATAAAGCCTTATGACCAGTACCCTACAGTAAAGTGTTACCAAGATATTTTATTATTACTTTTTAATTAGACAAAAAGCTATTGTACAGTCTTCTTTTACAAAAAGGATCATTTTTCATGTTTTCGCTTAGTTTTTGTCATCAAAGATTTGTAAATATGGTAGATATACTATGTTAGACAATTTAAATAGCATAGTAAGAAAACAAAAATACCTCTAGAATTTAAATCATGAGTGTGTTTGTGTGTGTGTGTGTTTTTTTTTTTTTATCATGCCTACTGGTCTATAAATATTTTGCAGGGTTTGCTTTGTATTGTCATAAACTAGTGTGTGATTCAGCTTGATAATGAAGGTCCTGAAAAAATAATTGAAAAAATCGTGTATGAACTGAATGTGGTATGTTACATCAAGGAATACAGAAAAATGCACAGGGTCCAGAAAAAACGGGATTGAGAATGACCATGGCATAGCACAGTTTTTCTTCATCCTAGGTTTGGACAGCCCCTGTACTGAACATATCTGGCCTGCTGATGATTTTTACAAAAATCTAGTAGAGCTTAAACCCAGGTCAGCTCCTGTCCTGTCTCTTACCACTGCTGGTCTCCACACTGATCTGTAGACCCAGATTGTGATGGGGACTCATAACCCACAGGTTGCTGGTGGCTGTGATGTCAAAATCTAGCCAGCCTTCTTCCACTGCCCACAGGTGGCGGGACTCCAACAGAAACAGATCCGCATCTCTGCAGTCAAAAAACACTTACAGGTTATGATCTGTGAACTACACCCCAAGTGACAATCATTTAGGTGTTTGAGCACTTTGTTTTGACACTTTGGAAGAAAAGCCCAGTACAATTTGTTCTCTCATGCTTTCTCTCCATGTTGTTCTTCTTTGTGGTATCTTGTGATAATACATTTTAGTCCAGCTGTATTTGGACTGTTCAATGTAGATTATGTGTAGATGTTCAAATTCTTAACAAACAGCATATTACAGCTCATCTGACCTATCCATGCTCCATGTTGTTACAAGGATGGGCAAGTTATATGGAATGTTGGCAAAAATCTGAGAAATTGTACCACACACCTTAGTTTTTGCCAAAATAACCCAATTTAGAAAGTGTCATTCATTTCAAATTATATTTATTTTGCATGTGTGTGAAAAAGTTACATCGGTAAGATGGATCATATATAGTTTTTGTCATGTAACTATTTTTGTGATATATCTAGAATCTAGGCTAAGCAGAAAGTTCATTGGTGCTAGGTTTGTTGTTGCTAGCAAGCTAAGTCAATGTCATAGCCTACACCACTAGCCACTGTAGCATGGCTGAATTTAATCTTAAAGCTTTACTGGCATTTTCGCATTGTGGCGTGAACTGTCACTTCAACCTACTTCAGTAAAGTTGAGCTACTCTGTGACAGTGACAGAAAGAGAGATAGAGAGGTGAAAAACCTCACTGAAAAACTCATTTCTCTAGAAAGTTCAGGGAGTGGTGTAGTTTGGTGTAATTGTAAGGCAGGGTGAGATAACAGGACAAAAACACATGCATAATAATACATGCTAATTTAAATGGAAGTTGTGTGCAATAATTTCTTATTAGGTTGGATAGAATTTTTGGCAGTGTTCAGTAAAGTTTGTCCAAGCTAGCAGCAGTTGCTATGAAAGAGTGCATTCATGGCTGAAAATAATTCTACATAGCGGGAGGTGACAGTGAATTGTAGTTTTTATTGGACAGACAGACAGACAGACAGACAGACAGACCGACAGACAGACAGACAGACAGACAGACAGACTGATTGATTGATTGATTGATTGATTGATTTGCAAAGGTTGTGGCTAGCCAGCTTGGCAGATAGCCATGGAGTAACAGGCTTCACTAGTAATTAAGAGTAGGCTTAATCAAAAATATTATCTGAATTCTTGCAAAACCGCAAAATACATAGTAAAGAATATGTTATTGGAATGTTATTTGAATTTAACAAGCTTCAAATATCTGTGCTTAAGCTAAACTTTAGTTGCAAAAGTGAAAGTAAACCACCATCAGTTTGCCCCCTACATAACACAGAAAGTCTTAAAAGTGTGCTAACAGAAATTAGCATTATTTCAACCATGGCTTGCAACAATGGGACACATTGCCACAATAGGCAACAGATGACCACAGAATCTCTCCGGCGGCCGAGAGTCAGATTGATTTGTCAGGGTTAGGGTTAGAATTATAGTTAGAGTTAGGTTTTGGTGTTGAAGTTAATATTAGGTTTATTGAGTGATAGTTTTAGGGTTAGAAAAAAACTCAAGCTGCTTTCAACAAAGCAATTTTAATGTAATTTAAAGATAAGATTGCACTTTGAACCATCCAAAGTGTTAACTAACTAAATTTGCAGACTGACTGTTGCAAGGGCACATGTGACAACAACATGTCACTATTAAATCCACTGTCCTATTTAAGCTGTGTTATGGTAAGCTATGCATCAGCGTGCATATTGTGCAATTTCTGCCCCTGCCTGACAGCTTCATCTGTATCTCTGCATATCTACAGAATTTCACACCTTTTGATTCTTTTTCACACCTTTTAGATCTTCTCTTGAATTTACGTGTCTGCCCTAAAAGTGGGCATTACACAGAGGCCTATCCTCATTACACTAATGACACACCATGCTGGTCAGCAGAAAGCCTCCTCCTTACTGTGGTACTTCAAAGCAGCCCAGGCACACAGGTGTTCTGGGAATGCCCCTGCAGTCATGCTTCAGCCACCAGTCTTTACTGTGCACTAATTAGAACTGCTCCAAAGGCCTCAATATAATGTCCACTTCATACAGAGTTCACACATTACGCTTGGAATGAACTGCTGGTGTTAACTCACATCGTCCACACTACTGGTCAGTCACCGTTACTTGGCAAAGTATGTGTCTGGTAGCAGCATCTAGAAGGCCTTACTGTAAAACTCTAAATTAAATTTTAGTGATAAGGTTTGAGGTAACGAGTTTTTATTACATAAATCATTGTGCATGGTTAGTTTAAAAATGCACAATTGTGGCCCTGTTGTTGTACTATTTTGTCTTAACAGATATTTGTACAATATTGCTTTTGTATATGGCTTGGTGGGCATATTCCTGTGGTTTGGCAATGAATACTATCCCAGTATTCTGCAGCCGTAATGCTCTGGATTTTTCATGAGGTACTGAAAGATCTCTGAAGGAGATGAGTAAGAGTCTTATTTTGTGCCTTACTTTTTAACAGTAGTGAATTATGACTATTTGACCTAGGCCTTCAGTTCAGGCCATACATTTCAAAACTCAAAACCTTAACATTAATGCTCATTTCTGCCAGCACTTTTACGGGATCCTAGTAGTATAAATATTAAGTCTATTCTAGATTAAACACGGTTATTTAAAGTTTGTAAAAGACATTCCATGTTTTACTTGAAGTCTGTAACAGACATTAACATATGTTTTACCTTGTATGTACCTTGTATGGCACAGAGCTGTCGCTGCTGTTTTCCATTTCTAACAACTGACTACAACGCATTGGTTAGGCTGCCACTCGTATTCACAGTCAGTGATATATCTAGGATATCCTAGAGTGATGCTTTTTCTCACAAAATTGGTCCTGCCCATTGGAAATCAAAACGTGATTGATTGATCCCTCTGTCAGTTCCTAATTTTGTTAGTGGTTGTGTGAAACGTTAGGCCTTCAGTCCAGCTCCTGAAATCCTAACCAATAGGAGAGCTACTTGGCTGTATCTACCTAAATATCACAAAGACAAAAAAAATCCTGATTGCATAATTTTCCATTGGACGTTTCAAGACTTTTTTGTTTCCAACCAAAACTTAACAATGAAATAAGAGTGTTACTACAAAACAGGCATAACCATTCTACTAAATAAAGAACTAAAAATAAAGAACTAAAAATTAGATATGTATTTTTTTATTTTATATTCTCTGAAAGCCTAAAGGTGCTGAGGATTCCCCATTGATTTTCAATATATGTAAAAATGAACCTACATTTATTTTAATGAATAACATGAAGAAGATGTTTGTCTCTGAGGAACATTCTTTGGTTCTTTGATCCAGGTAAGCACTTCAATTACATTTCACTTTTACATATATAGGAAAAAAATTACATATAAAGGAAAATATCATGGAATATTAGCAGTAGCCTTCTGTAGCATTAATGTAATATACTTAGTGAAAACAACTTTTTAAAGCATGGCATTTTCCCCATATACCATTTACAGAAACTTCATTCTGTTCTCTTCAAATGTATGTTTGCAAATCCCAACTGTGGCTTCCAATAAGGAATTTGTTCACACTTAATCATTGATTTTAATACGCTACCATTATATTATTATAAAATAATTACAATGCCACTGCCTTTGTAGGCCAAGGACTAAATTTGGAGGTAAAGGGGTGCACGTTCTCCTGAAGTTCAGCATGCTGCTGATGTAGGTAAAATCAGCCTGCACACACAGCCAAAAAGTCTGCCACATACACTCCCTCATCAACACCTCCTCTAGCGGGTTGGGTCTTGTTGATTAAAGATGTTCACACATCAGAGCATTTCTCAAGCACATCTGCTTATCATAGCCAGCCACTTTCTCCAGCCAATCTGCTTATTAGAAGTACTATAATTAAAGTAATTATGTTATTAAATCAGGCCAATTAAACTGTTTATAAGCAAATGCATTTTTCAAGCCACAACAAAATACAAGCAGAAGCCCTACTGAAGACACATGACAAAGCAAACTCTGATTAGTGTTAAAGTAAATGTTTTATGCATTTATATACACCGATCAGGCATAACATTATGACCACCTCCTTGTTTCTGCGCTCATTGTCCATTTTATCAGCTCCACTTACTATATACAGTGGTGTGAAAAAGTGTTTGCCCCCTTCCTGATTTCTTATTCTTTTGCATGTTTGTCACACTTAAATGTTTCAGATCACCAAACAAATTTAAATATTAGACAAAGATAACACAAGTAAACACAAAATGCAGTTTATAAAAAAAGATCTTTATTATTAAGGGAAAAAGAAATCCAAACCTACAGAGCCCTGTGTGAAAAAGTGATTGCCCCCTAAACCTAATAACTGGTTGGGCCACCCTTAGCAGCAACAACTGCAAAGAAGCGTTTGTGATAACTGGCAGTGAGTCTTTTACAGTGCTGTGGAGGAATTTTGGCCCACCCATCTTTGCAAAATTGTTGTAATTCAGCCACTTTGGAGGGTTTCCAAGCCTGAACCGCCTTTGTAAGGTCGTGCCACAGCATCTTAATCAGATTCAGGTCAGGACTTTGACTAGGCCACTCCAAAGTCTTAATTTTGTTTTTCTTAAGCCATTCAGAGGTGGACTTGCTGGTGTGTTTTGGATCATTGTCCTGCTGCAGAACCCAAGTGCCTTTCAGCTTGAGGTCACGAACAGATGGCCGGACATTCTCCTTCAGGATTCTTTGGTAGACAGGTAGAATTCATGGTTCCATTTACCACAGCAAGTCTTCCAGGTCCTGAAGCAGCAAAACAGCCCCAGACCATCACACTACCACCACCATATTTTACTACTGGTATGATGGTCCTTTTCTGAAATGCTGTGTTACTTCTACGCCAGATGCCAGATGGGACATACACCTTCCAAAAAGTTCAACTTTTGTCTCATCAGTCCACAGAGTATTCTCCCAAAAGTCTTGGGGATCATCAAGATGTTTTCTGGCAAAACTGAGACGAGCCTTTATGTTCTTTTTGCTCAGCAGTGGTTTTCGTCTTGGAACTCTGCCATGCAGGCCATTTTTGCCCAGTCTCTTTCTTATGGTGGAGTCATGAACACTGACCTTAACTGAGGCAAGTAAGGCCTGCAGTTCTTTGGATGTTGTTGTGGGGTCTTTTGTGACCTCTTGGATGAGTTGTCGCTGCGCTCTTGGGGTAATTTTGGTCGGCTGGCCACTCCTGGGAAGGTTCACCACTGTTCCATGTTTTCGCCATTTGTGGATAATGACTCTCACTGTGTGTCGCTGGAGTCCCAAAGCTTTAGAAATGGCTTTATAACCTTTTCCAGGCTGATAGATCTGAATTACTTTGTTTCTCATTTGTTCCTGAATTTCTTTGGATCGCAGCATGATATCTAGCTTTTGAGGAACTTTTGGTCTACTTCACTTTGTCAGGCAGGTCCTATTTAAGTGATTTCTTGATTGAGAACAGGTGTGGCAGTATTTAGGCCTGGGTGAAACTGAACTCAGCTTTCCAAAGATGTGATAAACCACAATTAATTTATGTTTTAATGGAGGGGGCAATCACTTTTTCACACAGGGCCCTGTAGGTTTGGATATCTTTTTCCCTTAATAATAAAGACCTTAATTTATAAACTGCATTTTGTGTTTACTTGTGTTATCTTTGTCTAATATTTAAATTTGTTTGGTGATCTGAAACATTTAAGTGTGACAAACATGCAAAAGAATAAGAAATCAGAAAGGGGGCAAACACTTTTTCACACCACTGTAGGTACACTTTGTAGTTCTACAATTACAGACTGTAGTCCATCTGTTTCTCTGCATACTTTGTTAGCCCCCTTTTACCTTGTTTTTCAGTGGTCAGGACACCCATGGACCCTCACAGAGCAGGTACTATTTGGGTGGTGGATCATCCTCAGCACTGCAGTAACACTAATTTGGTGGTGGTGTGTTAGTGCGTGTTCCGCTGGGGTGAGTGCATCAGACACAGCAGTGCTGCTGGAGTTTTTAAACACAACAATGTCAGTGCTGGACTGAGAATAGTCCACCAACCAAAAATATCCAGCCAACAGCGTCCTGTGGGCAGCGTCCTGTTACCACTGATGAAGGACTAACATCCCAACATCTGCCAAAAAGGGTTATTTGTGTGGTGCCATTGTAGAACCACATTTGGTTTTCCCTTAAAAAAACTTTAATTGGATGGCTCTTTAGGGAAACATTTCTGTAAATATTTCTCTAAAGAGTTGTGTAAGTGTATAGAATTTATTTTTTACTTTTTATATTTAATTATTACTATTTTTTAAAAGGTTTTCTTTATAGTATATAGTTTATAGTACTGTAAGGGTTTTGGGAAAAACTTAATTTAGTATAGAACCTTTACATAACTGATAAAAGATTCTTCCCACTCACAAATCTCTTTTTCAAACATGGTTCTTTTTAGGGACTCAAAAGTGGTTCTTCAATGCATTGCTCAAAGAACACTTTGTGGTAGCTTGTTTTAAAGTGTAAAATGTACTATTAAACTCAGAAGATCTACCAAACAGGGACCTTATGATAAAGATTAGAGACTGCTCCATAAAAAGGCAATTGAGCAATTAGTCAAAATCTTCCCTTGCCTTAGATATGATTACAGCGACAAAATCTTGGAACGCTTAAAGCACTTTTTTATTTTGTAATAAAATGTGCTGAAAAAGTGACAAAAGGGAACAGAGAAGTCCATTTTGCTAAGTTTAGGACTCCATTTTAATTCAGACTAGTGGCTTTTCCTGTAAAATGTGACTGGGTGACTAACCACACATTGTAGCCTCACTGGTTGCTGTTTTGACACTGGACACAACACCCAATCATGCTTCTGGTGTGATTCACGGAGATCATCCCTCCTTCCGCCCACAATGTCAACGTCTGACGTGTATTTGGCTTGGTTTTTTTTTAGACGTCAAATGAACTATTTCAGTCTGCCACTGCGGTGATGGCTCAGCCTGCGCAAAGTACATGGTAGAAACTGAGATGGAGGCTTCTCGTCTATGTCCCAGTTCTGCTCTGAATTCTCAGTGCACTAGGTCACAAACATGAGTTTTTAGCCCTTGTGGCCTAAAAGTATGTTTACACCTTCCAAAGTTATCTATAACATGTAAGGCCAATTTTCAAAACCACAGTGTGCTAATGGAAATTGTTTACTTGCTTATATAAGTATTTGCCGGTTTATGTTGCTGAGTCATGTCCCATTCCAAATGGGATCAGAAGCAAGAATGAGTCCATTTTAGCTGGGCCCCCAATTTCTTAGTGAGTGAAGTGCATTTAACCACACACAGTGTGGGGCTGATGTTATGTCATTATAATGTTTGTACCTTTCAGCTAATTTATCATCAGGTTTATATTATCATAAAGAAATGTTTACAACATCCACCTCAATCCACAGTTAATATTTCCAGAACTGAGGACATATCCTGCATATCTAATTCTGCTATAGCGTAATGGGGAATTCTACCAATTTTTGAGAATGTTTGCATAATTTAGTCGTTACGATGCAAGCAAAGTCATTCCGAGTGGTTAGATGTGATGTACCATTCTGGAGAAACCTAACAAGAAAGAAATATTTACAGTGGTGGTGACAGGAACCCGTATATTCGTAGCATTTAATGATGCTTAAAGCTACCTTATAGAACTACTTACATGAAGTAGTTACACGTATGCTGCCTGATGCCTGAGACATTATTTTTCAATAGTCTTGAGGTAAAATGTATTCATGGCAAAGAGATACATGCAAAATAGTGCCTAAACAAAACTTTTCTTTTACGTTAATAATCATTACATATTGTCACTGTCAGAACCAAAAGTCGTATCTCCAAAATGGTAACTAAAGAAAATTTATTCTTAAGTTTTAGTAGAAGTTAATGTAACCAGATTTTTTACAAGATATCATCATCAAGTTTTTTTCAATTATGAATTGTTCATAAAATGTAAAAGGCAGTTGGGGGTTTTAAAATCTGCTCCACAGAACCACAAAGACAGAGATACAAGCATTTGTCCTGACAGCAACAATATAAAAACTCAGAAGACGTGTAGGTTCTCTGTTTAGATAGCAAATAAAATCACTACATTTGTACTGTAGACATTGCAACTCCTGGTTCCTATCACGACCACTGTAAAGAAATCCAAGTTGGTAAGTTTTTCTACAGTGAACCATTTGACATCAAACCACCTTTTACTTTACTTACATCTTAAAGATTAAACAATCAGTGGAATTCCTATTAACCCCAAAAGACATCAAGGACTACTGACTGCACTTTTAGTTACTAGCTGTTAAGACCACTGAACATCAAATTTGCTAAACTGCAAGATCTCTGATTAGACAGAAGAGCTTGTATAGCAAAAATAAAGTCAAAATAAAAATAACTATTGAGTATTTTAATTATCAGTCTTCTTTCACTGTAACTAACTGTAACGGTGATGTGTAGTCTGTGGAAGCATTTAGAAAAGCAAAGTGGAGGTACCACCAGAAAACATCTTTTAGACTTCTGCTTTAGGATGTCTTTAGTAACATTTATGCAGTGGCATGTACAGCATTGTATATATATTGTGGTCAATTAGCCCACCTTCTCACCTGTCTGGGTGTTCGCCCACCACCTGGAAGACACTGAGTAGAAAAGTTTCATTGCGGAAAGTACTGCTCACACATTCCTTGTAGATCCTGAACTCTGCTGCTGTAACTGCCTCTCCCTCTGGGATCTGAGACAAGTTGAACTTGAACTCCTTATGGTGTCTTCTGTGCGGAGACAACTCCCGGTCATACTCCACTGTCCAAAGACAAACATGAAGACACATAAAAAAAAATGAAGACCACAGTTTATGAACATAGTTTATATATTCCTCATATTTGAAGATTTATTATTATGTTATGTTATTCTTTTTTATGCTATAGTATGTTATATATCTCACAAACATGCTAATCTCTGTTAGTCATACCCCATAATTAGCTACCATTACCATTCACCCTCATGTGAGAATGCAACCATATGCATTTATACTATAGCACCACTTTACAGAGAGTCCACATGCTAGGCGAGCCGGCTCTGCAATAATGATCCAGTATTTCTGGTGGGACCCTAATTCCCTATTTGTTTAAAGCAATTCCCACAGCAAAGACCATCCTGACAGATGGGTTTCCACACAGTTAAACACTAGCAGAGGACAAGGAAAAAAGGGGGAATGGAAACCACAGTACGCCTTTTAGTCAGACGACAGCTTTGTCATCTCCTGTTCAGCTCCCCCTCAGATGCCACCACCAACCCTCCCTCAGCTTCCCAAGCCTGGTGCACAGCCTGCCGTTCCTGCCACATAAGTAAATGTCCAGCCGGATACCCTTGCACAAGGGCCCGGGATGAACTGCTCTGTTCTGATTGGATTTCCATGCCTCCTCACCACATATAAGTAAGGAGCCCACACTTCCACCCTAGGCGGCCCTCCCTCCTTACACAGGGAAAGGGGGAGGTGGAGGAGAGATTAGGAGAAAAGGTCTGAGGAGTAAATTAAACTTGGAACAGACGGATGGGGAGATTAGCAAAGGGGTTTGGGGAGTTACCCAAGGTGTACCCCCTTCCTCTCACTGATGAGTTACAGTAGCAGCATAAAGAGGTTAAAGTTCTCCAGGGAGTGTCATCCCTGATCTCCATCCCCTCAAACAAGAGGGGCCCCAACACATGCGTTGTCAATTAATAACGAGTGTTTGTGGAGAAACTCAACAGGGCCCCTTTAGAGAGTAGATCCTGAGGGGCATTTTCAGGACAGCTTGTCCTTGTCCTGCCTCCTCAGTACTAATTGACTGACTAGGCTTGGACATCCCATCTGTAAACTAGAGTCCACACATCATCCATCGGGACCTCAAAAACCTGTCACCAGAACAAAAACCAGAAGGGCAAGAGGAAGAGGATGAAGAAGACAGGATGCACTGCTCAGTCCCAGCTGTAGGACCAGCACAGTGATGGCTCTGCACCTGACCCCCCCCCTACAGTACTGCATGTGTAAGGTGTATTGATAGAAATCTCTAAAGGTCCCCTTTGTGATGTTTTTCACATCAGCACCTAAAGCCTGAAAGTAGCCTTTGTTGCATGCAGCTGAGACTGAGTTTCATTAACTTCCCTCACAGCTGTTTCCATAAGAGCAGAGCAAAGCCAGTCCATCAGCAGCACAGCCTTCGTAGATGACAGATCTATTAGCAGAAGCTGCAGCAGGGGTCAGTGGCTCACAAATTACTTCAGAACACTCACTTGCCTTATGGGGGGGCTTGCTTTGGGGGGAGTAAATGAATAATCACTGAACATGACTGAAGTCTCACACACTCACGCATGCACTCTTAAAAATAAACTTTAATTGATATAGAGCATTTAAATAATGTAGAGATTCTCTAAACTGTAAAACAGCTCTTCACACACACACATATCATTTACAAATATCCTTTATTAAAGAACTATCACTTGAAAGGTTCTCTTGGGAACCAAATGCAATTCTTCAAAGACTAAAGATCTTCTTCAAGCAGTTCTTCAAAGGCAAAAGATCAAAGACCTTGTTTTTTTGAACTTTAAGTGTACAGTACTGTGCAAAAGTCAGAGACCACCCGTCGTTTATTTAATTTCCAGTCAAAATGGGTATTAAATATGGGTTACTTTTTTCATTTTTCAGCATCAGGAAAAAAGCAGAAAAAATGTAACAGAAAATTGAGTCTCTGCCACTGTGGGGGCGATTTTCCTCATCTTCACCGACACTGATACCCCTCATGTTCAGGTTCGTAGGTGGGAGGGGCAGAGGGGCATCAACAGTGTATAGAGAAGAGTGTACATATATGTACAGACTCATAGAAGTATACTGAAGAAACATAAATTAAGAGAGAATGCTGAAGGGATGGGCCAGTAGAGAAAGCTCTAAGTTATTGTAATTAGGTCTGATTTTGTGTTTCCACTTGCGTAACCTCTGGCTCCTCTGGCTTTGTGCTATTGTCATTAGCCCACACAGAGTGACACAGAAGGGGCTGTGACCTACCAAGCAGCTGTGGGAAACTACTCACAGAGACCTAACTGTCCAGTGAGAGAAGAACACAGACTTGTAGAAAAGTAGAGAGAGAATTTGGAGAGAGACAGAGAGAGAGAAAGAGAGAGAGAAAGAGAGAGAGAGAGAAAGAGAGAGAGAGAGAGAGAGAGAGAGAGAGAGAGAGAGAGAGAAAGCGAGAGAGAGAGAGAGAGAGAGAGAGAGAGAGAAATGAGAGACATCTCAAAAATAAAGGACGCTTGGAGTAAGAGAGAAGAAAATAAGAGAGAAATCGATGCAATGGCTGGATGAGTTGATGATGCGCAAAAGTGGGCAGCAGGGCTGCACTGTGGTCAGCGGTCAGCTACGAGTAGCATGTTAAATGTTTTCCATCGTATCCTCTGGAGGAGCACCGCGGTCGTCTGCATTTAATTCCTACCACATCTCATCTTTTTCCTCCCTGTCTGCAACCACAAAGAGAAGGAAAAAACTTCTCTTTTCCTCTTTTCTCCTCCCACATCCTCCTCCTCCCAAAACAAAGGGGGCGCTACAGTGGCTATGCAGCCAAATCTCTTTTTTCCCTCTGTTTTTCACGTGGTGTTGACCCATATTTGGGTCCAAGGCAGTATTGACTTTAAGGCAGATGTGCTTTAGTAATAAAATAGCATGCTGGTGAGGGAAGCCTGTGATAGCATGCTGGTGAAGGAAGGTTACGAATTGTGCATCTTGCAATATGTTCCCCAGTGGGAACATGACTAATTTTGATTGCTAAGAAATAATGACACGTGTTCTCTTTTTGTCCTCGTTTCGGGATCTGAAAAAGTCAGGACTTCTAAATTGCCTAAAATCTCTGGGGTTTGGCTTTGTTTTCATGTTGACATTTTCTTTCTACAGCCTGTGCCACCCTCTTGCCTCCAGTGTCCTTTTTTTCGAAAACCAAAATATGGTCAACCTCCTTCACTACTTCATAGTGCTGACAGGAATAGCAGCTCTTCTTTTCAAACAACTTTACAATAGGATTACAACATGATGACACAAAAAGCAGCTTTGTTTTTGCAACAAACTCGAAATCACTAGCCCTTTCCTCTGTTGGTGTCATGTGAAAGGCTCAGTTATCATCAAGATAGTAGCTGACACACTGTTAGTAGTATAGTGCAGTAGTTGCTCTGCAGCAAAGAGGCCAACAAGATAAAAAGGTTGTAGTAAATTATAACATTAAATGTAGATGAAAATGCAATAGAATATGGGAGTGTGTGATTTTAACTGACTGTACTGGAGTTTATGTTTCATTCACATGGAGGGGGTTCACCTATCCAAACTTCCATATGTATGCACTTCTGTGCAGTGGGTTTACTACTAAAGGCCTAGTAGTTCTTAAGCGCGATTTCCTTGTCAACGCATTTGGGGACACTTTAATCAACAAAATACACCAGACTTTCTGACAATATGCAGACGTCTGGCTTGCGAGACAACATTTTGACAACATTTTGGAATGAAAAACTGATAAAAATGAAGGCATATTTGTTCCATCAGAAAGATGACTACAAACACTTCAGGCAGGATTGCACTGTGAATTGGGCTTAGTAGCCAAAAGACAGTGCTTCAGCATGTGGATGAGATCATGTACTATTGATGTCGTACAGTGATTTATGGCAGTTGCTCTTGTATAATCTTGAGAGCATGCAGATTGAGGGCTGAGCCACTAAAGTATTCAACACGGCAGAAAGAAACACCTTCAAAAGTCTGCAGATGAGATGAAATAAACTAAACTAAACTAAAATGCATTTTTAAAAATGCGGTATCAAAGTTCAATTCCAACCAGGGTAAATTACATAATGTACTGGCACATGTAACGATCGCAAACTGTCTCCGACCTCTTTGTTTTGCAACTTGACTTGGCAGGCCTGTGTTTGAAATGGAGATTTGTCAAAACTCTTTGAAAACAAAAACGTGCTAGGACAAACAAGTCCCCTAGTGCATGTGAAAGACAAGTTATGCATCTAGAAGTGCAATAGTTATTTGATAACTCAGAAATGCTTAAAAGCTTCAGTTCACCAGCCAGAAGCTAATGCCACAAGAGAAAACCTGCAAACCTCCACAAACAGCAGACAACACAAAATATTCAGTGTTCTGGACTAGTTATAATGTGTTTAATGCTTTAAAATGTGTATAAATAAATAAAAAAGAGTAAAAAATCTTCTCTTCTTTTCACAGCTAGTCTTGAGTTGGCTTTAGAATTGTTCTGATAAATTCCGAAAGTCTGTCATTGCAGAATACAACAATACACACTAGCAATTTATGAAGCCATATACAACGTCAAGCATGACTTTCTTCTTGTATCGACAGTATTGTCAGCATAATTTATTATATCTCTTATGGTATTTTACAATGTTTATTAAGTGCTGAAGTTGGCTGATAGCTATACAGATTTGTGAGCTTGAGGTGAGACAGCTGTGCTCTGCACTCATGTCAGCATGTATGCAAATGTGTGAGAGAAAGAGAGAGACACATTCATCACAAATTAGCCTCTACAAAGAAAGCATAACCAAATGCTAAAACAAACTGTATTCTTGCACTTAACAACAACTCAATTCAAACACTGTCCATTGGAACCAAAATAATTTGAAAACCATCTTCACCCACAGGTTGATATCCTCCTGGTGTAAAACAAACCATGGAAGATACCATTGGTATGGGCAAGGGCAACAAGCTCTGTTTAGAAAGCAACCTGATACAGGCATCAAAGCAGATAACAAGAAACACAGCACTTAAAAGG